ACCAAGAGTCTCCAACCATTGGTTACGAAAGTCACGCGGACCCCAACCAAGTAGTCTGCATCTACCAACATGGCTCAGACTAGAAGTTAGTGACTTCAGGCACTGATGCCACGTTTTGGTTTGGCCGCCCCTAACTTTCTTCCAACCATCCCCTACACCGGTTAGCATTGCACGTCGTGGTAATCGGTGTTCAGGCATACGTAACACGTGGCCCAACCATCTCAGTCGATGAAGATTCATAACCTCATCAACTGATTTACCATCATTCCCTAATACCCTGCGTCTAACCTCACTATTACTTACCCGGTGATCCCAGCAGATGCCAGCAATATTTCTAAGGCATCTGTGGTCAAATACTAGTAGCTTACGGGTGTCTTCTACTCTTAAGGGCCATGTTTCGCTGCCGTAAATTAAAACAGAACGGACTGCCGCGCAGTATACTCGTCCTTTTATTGATAGACGGATATCTCGCCTCCGCCAAAGGTGACGTAAGTTGGCAAAAGCCAAACGAGCTTTTCGAATCCGTGCTGAGATTTCGTCAGACACCAACCCATTAGGGCTGATCAGACTTCCAAGATAAGTGAAGTTGTCAACGCGTTCGACTACTTCACTCCCTATCCTTAGTTCAGGTGTTGACGCAGACCAGTCCTGAAGCAACAACTTGCATTTAGAGGGAGAGAAGCGCATCCCAAACATTCTGGCATTGTTGCTTAGTGCTACCAGAAGACTCTGCATTTTGTCAGCGTCTTCACCAAACAGGACTATGTCATCTGCGTATTCTAAGTCGATAAGTGGACCTCCTGGAAGGAGATCAATACCCGAGAATTCAGTCGACGAGAGTGTTATTTCCATCAATAGGTCTATGATGAAGTTAAACAAAAATGGAGAAAGTGGGCAGCCTTGACGGACACCACTTGAGGTTGCAAAAGTAGATGACAGTTCGCCATAAGCCCTGACTCGACTAGTAGTGTTCGAGTAAAGAGCCTTCACAAGGTTTATGTACTTCTGAGGTACGCCTTTCAATGACAGACACTGCCACAGAATCTCGCGGTCTACAGAGTCAAATGCTGCTTTTAAGTCAAGAAAGACCACCATCGTCGGACGCCGATAAGTATGCCTGTGTTCTAGAACCTGACGAATGGTGAATATGTGGTCGATGCAGCCACGACCAGGTCTAAAGCCAGCTTGGTTCTCTCGTGTTTGTAGTTCACGAGTCTTAGTTAGGCGTTTGATAATTATCGAGGCCAGTATTTTAGATACTATGTTTGTTAAACTAATCCCTCTGTGGTTGTCACAGGATGATTTTGACCCTTTCTTATATATTGGGACGATAAGTGATTGCGACCAGTCAGATGGGATAACGTCTAATTCCCAGATCTTAGCTAAAATATTAGTCAACCTAATCGCTAAAATTGGACCACCATCCTTAAAGACCTCTGGAGCCAATCCATCTGGACCAGCTGCCCTTCCTCGTTTCAGATTAACTATAGCCTTCTCAACTTCAGCAAGAGTTGGGGGACCTACTTCAATGTTCCATTCACATTGTCTGGGAATGGAGGGTAGTTGTAGAGTAGCTGAAGGCCAGCTGAACTGTTCTCTAAAATGTTCCGCCCATCGTTCTAAACGTCTGGACTGGGAGCAGATGAGAGTATCATCTTTTTCCGAAATAATCTCACTTACACTTGACTTATTAATTCCAGTTTCTTTTATTAGTCTGTAAAGCTGTCTTGTGTTCCCTATAGTCGCCGCCTTTTCCATCTCTTTTGCTTTCGTTACCCACCACTGCTCACGGTCGTTCCTTAGACTTTTTCTTAACCTAGATCTGATTTGTTTACGCTCTTCATCATGTTCAGAACCTGATGGGACGAGTTTGCGAGAATCCATCAGTGTGACAGACCTTGAAGAAATCCACTGGTTCCTTGTAACTCTGTGGTTTAAGTCACTAATAGATGTCACTGCTGTTTCCACAGCTGATTGTATGCCCTTCCAAGCAACATCTGGGTCAGCCTCGTCTTCACAACTACCTAAGTGTGACCTCAGTTGTTCCTGGAACCTACTTTTGGTTTTCTCGTTACTCAACTCAGTTCTAACGGGTCTTTTTAATGTGGCTTTTTTGCGTCCAGTGAGGCGCAAGCAGATGCGTGCCCGTATTAGGGCATGGTCGGAGTCCAAGCAGGTACTCCAGAATGAGCGACAATCTTCTACCGACCCTCTCCAACGATGACTGATGGCAATATGGTCTATTTGAGTCCATCGTTGGTTTGGTGTAGGGGGTCGCCATGTTAGACGATGTCTCTCCTTATGCTTAAAATTTGTGTTTGCTAAAAATAAACGATTGTCTGAGCATAGCTGCAGCAGACGATCACCATTATCTGTTCGCTGTGTCGGAATACTAAAATATCCACCTAAATGCCTTTCTGTTTGGTTTAAACTGCCTATCTGAGCATTAAAATCACCTGCTACGAGTACTATGTCTGAGCGTTTAGCTTTCTGAAGAAGTTCGGACAGCTTTCTGTAAAATTCATCTTTCACTTCATCTGAGCTGCAGTCAGTGGGAGCGTAGGCAGAAACGACAAAAAGGCAACGACGTGTGTCCCTATCCTTCCGAGTTCTTACGTAGCCGTTCAGCCGAACAGCACATAGACGACTGTTGACGGGGATCCACTCTAGCAGTGCTTGTTCGGCCCTCATGCTTAGTGCTATGCCTACACCTGCCAGTCCACGAGAACTTGCCATCGGGTCACCAGATACACGAAGGGTGTATCTCGTTGGCTCTCCGTTTGCCGAGGTGAGGTCAAGTGAATGACCACACTGGAATCCTGTATGCGTGTTTCGGAGACACAGCACACATCAATGGAAAGAGACTCTAGGGTTTTAGCCAAGGAAGCCTGCTGACCGATTTGACATAGGGTGCGTACGTTGAAGGCTCCAATGTGTAGTTTGGAGCGAGGTTTCAGTAGACCTGGGACAGTGTTTTGCGCACTAGAATCGTTGGCTATGGTGACACTTGAGGTGGAAGCCGAGAGGGGAAATTTAGAGTTGAAAGTCGATGTAGGAGGAATAATAGGAATTGAAGAGGAGGTTGATTATGAATACAGTGGTCTTGAGTGCTGTTAGAAGTATGAGGGCGGTTATCACTTCCCGGTTGCCCACACCGTGGAAGGGTTGTTCTGGAGGTACCTGAAAAGGAAATTGGATTAGAGGTGGTCTTAGTGACCTGAGAGCGTGACCGCAGTGCCCAAGGGACAACTGCTTGAGGTCGGTCACACACGACCTTGTTATGGGTAATTTTTGTGTTAGCTCCGTACTTATTGAGACCTTACCGCCGGAGACGGATATCCGTGGGATAAGGCGAGGTGTGCATTTTTAGGGTCGACCTTTTCTAACCCCACCCCTCCTTGTGGGAAGGCAGCATCGCTGTCATGCTGGTTGTCTGAAGGAAACACCTTACTGCTGTCACACCTCTGTACAGTCAGCAGTACGACTTCGCCTTCGGACCTTGGGTTTGTTGCTTTTAGTCTTACCGCTCTTCAACCGACCTGTCTGACATGGTAGGACCTTGAGGAACGGTTGTTCCAGCCAGTATAGCTCGGTTGCTTCATCACGATAGGCAAGCCCGACCACCACGTCAAGGTAGCAACAACGGTCGGGACTTATTTCATGGTCCAGTGTATAACAAACAAAGGAATTTTCGAGTTATCCTGATGACTGATACTTATGAAACTAAAATTTAAATCTAAATGGTAATCCCAAATTTTTGTAATGGTCTAGTGTCCTTTGCTCCTGTTTGTTGGCAAGTTATCATACTGTGATGATTTCTAACATTCATTTTGAATTTGTCACAGGATCAGTGTTCCATTGACTATAGGTTCTCTAGACCGAGAGAGCACTTATTTTTTACACACTCTTCTTCAACACTATGGACCTGTGCTGTCTTTTCTTGCACAACTTTAATAAGTGGATTCTAAACAAAACGAGTTCACTTCTATTTTCTGCAAATCATAGGTACTACTTTTAGACAAGTCACAGTACAGTTACAACTGTAGAACGAAAATGAGTAATTTGTAAATATCAATGCCAAGGTTTGACTAATATTTCCAAATAAATTGAGCATTTACTGTATTGTTTACGATAAATAGTAATCTAGTTGTAATATCTGAACAGATGAACAACCAAAATCCAGAAGTTTCGTGGCTTAGTGTAAGTCGCTTCTTCACAAGTATACGGGCAGTACTCAAACAAATTGAATGACGAAATGTGGCGCATATATATTTGGTGCCTACTTTTGCCGATGTTTATGTGTTTAAATAAATAAGTAAATTATACAGAGGGACAAAGCAGAATATTTAGTAAGATTAAAATAGTTTTGATTTCATCTATGTCCTCCCACTTCCGTCCAGATGGTTCTGTTTAAGGTGCAATCGTGTATGTTCATGTGTATGCTAGTGGGTCTGGAAAAAACGAGTTTTTTTAACTTGAAAGAGTGAAGTTGTCTGCATTTAGATCACATACTTTTTGTACAAGGTACTTTTAGTTGGCAAGTAGTATTTGAATGACTAAAACGTGGTTGTTGCATTATATATACTAATGCGCTCAATGAATTCAAACCAAATTCTTTAAATTTAGCCAAACGATTTAAGAATGGTAGTGGCAAAAAATCTAAACACGTGAATCAGCTTAGAGTTTCCAACCAAAAATCCTCTTAAGCCAAATTATCAGTAGGATTTTGGAGAACTCAAGTAAACTGTATGAAAAAAAACCACCACAAAATATTCTAGTAGTGAGTTGTATGAATTTGGTTTTTTGTACTGTTTTTTATCAAAATAACGACTACTAAGTACACTACATTAATACGTGAACCTTTTACTTTTGCTCAGACATGGGTGAACACAATTTCATTACCAGATCTTGACAACTTTGAGCAAGATAAAGCCCTGGCTTTCGCATATTGAGACGGCACAATGCGCATGGTCGTGTTGATCTGGTCGCCAGGCTAAGCTATGTGCATTACAGGAGATCATGATACTCCTTTTATTTCTCCGTGTCAGTTTTTACTCGATCGGAAAAAATCAAACTTATTTAATTCTACTAGCAATTTGTCTTCAAATAATTGCAAACAACAAAAACCTATACACAACAGTGCCTTATTTCCAAGTATTTGCTCATCATCAGCTAAATTTATTATAACTGAACGTTCGGGAATTCTGATAATCCTGTTTATATTATTGGGCGATATACTCTGTGCAACAGCCAGGTTCACGCATTTATCTGAAAAATTTCAAACAGTCGCTGAAGACAAGAATAGTGAACTTGTATTCCTAAATCCTCCTGCTTCATCCTCAGCATTAAAACCAACAAGATTTACTCGACGAACAAGCAAACCATCTGGTAAATTAGACGCTCGTAAGACTGATATAAAAACGTACCTGAACAAAGCTCGAAGACATTTATCACTTGACGGACAAATGGAAATAAAGTTTTTGAGTTCCGAACTTGTTGAATTTATTTGCCACCGACTTCCCGATCCATGTGCTCGCGCTGCTTATCTTCGTCAACATGTCAGACACGATTTGTGCTTTCGTTTGCCTTTATTGTATCTCCTCCCATATACTGATTCTCGTTTGCATAAACCGTATTTGTCGGAATATAAACCTGGAACTTGTAAAGGAAGTCTATCTCATCTCACATATTTACCTTCAGATAGTATTTTTGAACAGTTTCTGACTCCGGTCCATATATGTGAACACAGTCTACTTTCGCTAAAAAAGATAATGGACGATAATTTAACTTCACATTTTGGAATATTTGATGATCTACTAGAAAAGTCATTTTGTGTTAAACCATTCGATTCCCGCCCTAACGTAACAGGAGAATGCCAATGTCAGGAGTGTCAAGTAAGTGTTTTTCGTATAAGCACTTGTTTCTGTATACACAATGACCGTCTTAGTTTTCCTATATGGGTTCATTATACTTTGAACACTTAAACTTTGCCTCAACTATGATACAATAATCGAAGATTAGACTTAACCGTCACATCCTAATTGATTGAAGAATGAGTGACTTACAAGTCGATTTCCTGCACTCACATACGATACTTTATCATATGTATTTGCGGTAATATTTTGTGTATAAGCACGTAATTTTATTACTTAAAATTCATTATTCTGGCTTAGCTGTCTCGTTCCCGATTTCTAATAATTCGAGAGCTTAAGTCACTAATATGATCTCGTGAGCATCCATCACTTGTTTATGCCATATCATTGCGTTCATCTCTCACTTAACATTCATTACTTCTGAACGTCTAGAATTTTGTCTTGTTAACTATTAAAAATTGACCGATAATTCCCATTTAAACATTAAAATTAAAACACGAAGTTCAGCGAAGGGATCTCTTTTCAACGAATTTATTATCAAGCTGAACAATCGTATATATATGAAAATTTTTTTGTTTTTGTAAAAGTACTAATTCCGTGAGGAAATGTGAACACAATTAATAAAAAAAGGTTATAATACTAGATTACGTAATATGAGTAATAGCAATAACAATAGATTTGGTGAATATAATAAGATGATTAAAATGTTTTTGTGATAATAATTAAAGGTCATAGAGGTGTAGAAATAAATAAGGTGATATGATGAGCACTTACGAATAAAACAATGAGAATATAAGACATAAGTAAAGGGGGGAATGCAGTAATAATAATAATAATAATAATAATAATAATAATAATAATAATAATAATAATAATAATAATAGGATAATCAAAATAATTAAGGACAAGGTAACGATAACGATAAGACGTACTTCTTTTGTACGCATAGTTCTGGTTTAAGCTCCTGGATGGTAAGAGCTGCGGCTGTTTTAAGAGTTGGATACGAAGAAATCTGGGTAGATTTGAACGAATCATATAAACACCCTTAAAATGAAATTATGGATATGTAGAATGGTTACAGTCGATTAAGTGTTCAAGTATAGAACTCCTAACTGCTTTCCTTTCAGCCCTATAGAACCAAGCTGGGATATGTTCCCGTATCCGAATTGAAAGCGAGCGCTGGGTACGGCCAATGTACTTTGCTCCACAAGAGCAGGTGAACTGATAGATGCACATAGAGGCGACCAGACTCGGAAACTTATCTTTTATGGATACAGAAAATAAGTCCCTACTAGTGAAGGTTATTCGCAGTTTAGCCGCGTTAAATGTTCTTCTAATCGTTGTTGTTAGATGATTTTTGATTACGTCTGATGTTCGATCACCTTTAAATTCCAGACTTATATAAAGATTTTTCTCCGGGACGGAACAACTAGATTTCTTGTTGCAATTACTTCTATTCATATTATTTCGATGAAACGTTCTGCGTACGCATTTTTCGTCAGTCAGTCAGTCAGCTACAACATAGGACCAGGCACATATGTGCATCGGTCCAGGTTGCCATACCGCATCAGCACAACAAGATGAACACCGGATTCATAGCAGTGGTTAGGTCAAAGGTGGTAATATATAAGAGAAAGATTGCATATAGAAATATAGTACAAGAAGAAAGAATTGGTTCGTAAAAAGAAAGATATGAAGTGATTTTAATCTCTTAGTTTAAGGGAAGACAAAGAGTGTATACACTCTTTGTCGTCAAGGTTTTTTTGAGGAATGAGAGTTCTTCGTTAATGCATTCCGTACTGCATATCTGATGTATTTCGATAACATAAAGAATGGATGAAGTTTCTCTTTCTACTTAACGGAACCCGTGTTATAAAAGTTGATTAGCTGGCCATTCCATGTTTTTTTCTAAAGACGGATCTCTTTAAAGAACCATTACTCCTTCTCATCAGATGTACATCGAGAAAAGGAATTGATTAGTCTCGTTCCCTTTCTAACGTGAAGTCTATGGAAGGGTGGCATGAGTTAAAGGTGTGTAAAATATCATCTAAATCAATATTATTGTCAAAAACGACAAACGTGCCGAAGCTATTACCATCCAGGAGCTTAAACCAGAACTATGCATACAAAAGAAGTACGTCTTATCGTTACCTTGGCCTTAATTATTTTGATTATCTTATTGTTATCATTATTACTGCATTCCGCCTTTACTTATGCCTTATATTCCCATTATTTTATTCGTAGATGCCCATCATATCACCTTATTTATTTCTACACTTCTATGACCTTTAATTATTATAACGAAAACATTTTAATCATCTTATTATATTCATTAAATCTATTGTTATTATTCGTATTACGTAATCTTGGTTAATTGTGTTCACAATGAGTTTTGTGGAGATTTTAGTAAATTTCAGAGGTTGAAATCATGAGTCAGTTGAAGCTAGACCACCATTGAAAACCCGGAAGCACTGGACGGCCGTTTCGTCCTAGTATGGGACTCCCCAGCAGTGCGCATCCACGAACCCGCCCCCGCGGGATTCGAACCCAGGACCTACTGGCTTCGCGCGCGAGCACTTAACCATTAGACCACTGAGTCTACCTGTGAAATTGTGTTCACATTTCTTCACGGAGTCAGTACTTTTTCATATATATACGATTGTACAGCTTGATAATAAATTCGTTGAAAAGAGATCCCTTCGCTGAACTTCTTGTTTTAATTTTAGCTATTAAAAAGCCTCTCTCATTAAAAAAACTGGGCTTAAAAAGGAAACATTTCAACTAAAAGCTTGAGACTTCTGCAGAGAACAATGAAAAAAAACATACCGTAATAATTGTAATGCATGGGAAATTTGTGAAGGAAAATGTACTTCTCACATTGAGCAGTTTTCACATTAGTTTACGAGAAATGTAAATCAAATCACAAAGCGTTATTTTTTCTCACTAAAGGAATTCACTTCAAGACAAGCTCCAGTGGTGTACTGAGGTCAGCACAAATATTGGATTGTACTTTTCGCACCCGACTTAATTATTTGTAAAAGCATTGGTTACTCATTTAATTCCAGAAAGGTATCCTTTTGTTTCTAAGTGAAAAAGTGAGATTTTACTAAAGATACCGAACATATGTCTTCCAGTAATTGCAAAAAGTATCCTTTTAATCAAGGTGTTACAAACTTAATTGCTGTACTGTGTTTGACCACCCGAAAATCCCAATAAGTAATCTCCAAAAGAATTAAAGTTTGCCTGTGCTTTATTATATCTGTTTGCATGAACGTTTATGCTATTACTGAAGTTTCGTAGTTTAATCAACACCTGACTTTTTAGCGGTTCCAGGTTCACTACTCGATCGACTAACATAGTCTCCTTGACTAGAACCTCACATTAGAACACTAAAACCTAACTTTTTTAGCTCAATGTTTCTTTCACATACGAATAATGTTTGAATGACACCTAAGATCGAATACCGACAAGCTAGTATCTTAAACATTCAATGATCATATCTTCTAGTGTTTAACTAGGTCAAAGAATTATTTTCCTTGGATAAAGTTTACAACATATCAAACAGTCAGGTTTTCACTCAAGCTGTTCAACAGATCCTACGACCTCGTCACCTTCAATTAGCAGAACTTTATTTTCTGCTTATTTAATCTATTAAAAGATCTCCAGATAGTGTGTTAATAAGTTAAAAGTGGCGAAGGGTACACAACTTTCCACCGAAATTCTCCCGAGATATGTTTTAGTGGCCCGAGATCTGATTCCATTCGGATTGTACGAATGGTTGATATTGAGAGATACACATGTCATCTATCCTCGTATATAATTGTCGACTTAACTCACGTTAATAAATAACGGAATTAAATAAGCCAAGTACGAGAATAAACTTTGAATATATATATTCCATACACTCAGTGATTTGAATAGTGACGAAACAAAGAAAGAAGAGCCAAGCAGATTTGAGAAGGCGAGTGATCCAACTCGATTCAATCAAGCGTTAATCGATAGTCAGGCAAAAATAAGTTACATATATATGATGAGTAAGATAAGAAATACACACACATACTCTCATATAAAACCAATCAAGGTTGATAAACGAGTAATTGACAAGGTCAAAATGTGACTAAAAAAGAATGGATAAATTGGTCTGTCCAGAATAAGCTATATGGGCCTAGCATGGTAACCGACACTACAATAAGCAGTTTTTAATATTATTTATCCCAAACAATTTGTGAAACCCTGGAGTTTAGACAAACTCTCAAAGCTATATTGTTTTAACTTTGTTTAGAAGTAAGCTATCAAAGGCCTTGAACTAACGCGATATAAAGTTTTTGTAGCTCCCATCCACTTGAAGTAGTAGCAGTTAGGTTCGTGTGCTGATAATATCTCAGTCTCTCTTAATAGCCAACAGGTTCCATTGTAATCTAGGCTATAATATTTTTTTCCATTTTCCGTAAATTACTTTGTCATAAGAATCAGTATTAGGTATCCTTTAATTTTCGGTTGTCCCCACAAGTAGTTCATGTAACCTGTTTGTAGTACTCGATTTCATTCACCGTTTTCTAGCCCAATATTGGTTAGATCATACTGTAGGAAATAAAGAAGCATTATTGAGTTTGCATGCAATGGGGCATAAGACCCTGCTAATTTCTAACGTACGTATTTATTTATTATTTATTCTTCGTCTACCTTGAATGTGTCGGCAAAGTCGATTGTTTTTCCCGTTTTAGAATATGCTACCGATTTTTACAAAAGTAGAGTAACAAAGACGAAATTTGATCTGTGCTTCTTCCAAGCTATACGCTTTGTGCACTCATAGTGGGATTTTTCAAAACTCCAAAAATTAAACACTTATTTTCTAACTTTTTACGTTCTAAACTGTAAAATACCTTTTTTATTAAATTAGCTGGCAACCAATATAAATCACTTTCACAGATCTTATGATTTAGTGAAAAGATTTTCATTATTCTTCTCTTATGTAGTACACAAATTTATGTTTCTTAGGTGTTCTGTTGGTTGAGTCTTCC